GCTCTTAGGGGGCGTTTGGTAAGGAAGAAATTTTTTTTTTTACACGTAGGAATCATGATTCTATGGAATTACAAATCCTAAAAAATAATGATTCCTAAGAATAGCTAAAATATTTTTTATTACTCATAAAAGTTCATAGGAATATTCATCTATATAAGATTATTGAAAATTAAATATTTTCATGTTTAGCTACAATAGTATATTCTTGGGTATATAAATATTTTTTACAAAAATATCCTATATTAAAATAAATTCATGAGATATATTTATTAATCAAATCTTATTACAAATATGACATTAAACTATTTATAAAAAAAGTTGCAAATTTATTAAAATTATTTAAATAGAGAATTCAAATAGATAAATAAATAAATGAAATACTACATTATAATTAATATATATATATATATATTATTTTGTTTCATTCAAATAAAAAAATAAAAAGTGTCAACAAATATAATTAAAATGTAAAAATAAAATAGACTTTATTAATATTATTAAAATTGACAAGCTCAAGGATAATGAGATATGATGAAGAAATAGAGAAATATAAATATGGGAGGGAGAGAGAGGAAGAGAATGGGAGTGAGAGTGAGAGAGAGAGAGACATAGAGCAAGAAAGAAAAATAGAACTTGAGAGAGACGCACAACAAGAAAGAAAAATAGAAGAAGAGAGAGATAGAGAGGGGGAGTGAGAGTGAGATAGGGAGAAAGAGAAATAAAAATAGAAGGAGAGAGAGAGAAAGAGATATATATTTTTTGTTTTAAAAAAAAGTATTGTAGTCTTTTATATACATAAAATTTTATTCCTAACATAGAAAAGGTTACTCCAAAGAATTTTTATTTGAGATGACAAAAATATTCATTTAATAAAATTTTTTAAATTATGAAATTGATATATTTTAAGTTATTGATTATCTTGCATTTTTTATTACAGAAGTAACGTTAAATACAAGTTTAAAAGTTAATATCAATTTTTTATTTTTAACATTTCATCGACATATAATACAAACTTAAAATTTTTGTAATATAATTTTATTTTTTAATTTCTTAAAAAATCATAATTATCTATGGATATCCATGAGTATCCACGGATATTTAAAAAGTTTATGAATACCCGTTTAGCGGGGTTACCTGAATGGATATGAGATAGATACGAGACAAATTTTTATCTTATGAAGTGGGAATGGGTATACTACTACCGGCTTCCACGGAACCATTCCTACTTTTGATGAACTCTTATTTTATTTTATTAAAAAAATGTTTTTTTATTCCTAATTATTTTAATTCATTATTTATTTATTTATTTTAAAAGATGTTACAAGTTTGATTGGTATGGAACTCTCATCGTTTACATAAGTAGTTGTTAAATCTTAACTCTTTGAAATATAGAAAATTTAAGTTGAGAAGAGAGTTATATATTTGGTCTCCGTGAAATTCTCCAGAGATCAATCTCTATATTCAACGTAAAATACTTTAATAATAATGAGTAAAAATAATGAAACAAGCCTCACGAAATTGGCGTCGAAAAGGCCTTAAGTGTGGTAAAAATGCTTTTACGCGAACAGCAAATGCCGACAGAAGTCAGCTAGACGACAAAGGTTTTGAGCGTCCACTAGTAGATGTTATGCATATATTTTCTTTTTTAAATTTAGGTAAAAAATTAAAGTATTTAAATTTATATAATTATTTATTTTATATAATTAAAAGTTATAATGAGTAAAATTTTTGTTATATATAACATCTAATAATTAAAATTTGTAATAAATAAATAAATTTTAAGCATATAAATTATATTTTAAACATATAATATGATACCAAAATATTTTTAATTATTGATAATATATATATATTTAAATAAATATGAAAATGATTTAATGAAAGAAATATCAAAGTTAATGTTTACATTATCAAATGTATATTAGAAATGTCTTAATATTATAAAATTATTTTATATGTTAATTTAAATTAATAAAACATATTAAATAATTTTTTTATTTTTTTTAATTTGTAAAAATTTGATATATACATTAAAAACTTTAAATAAAATAATTAAATAATTACCCGTTCCAAATCCGGAACGCCCCGTTCCAGTCTACTAACTACATTACAACAGGCTTACCACGACCTTGGCATGCATTACCAAGTCACTTGTGGGGTTCGCCCACCAACTATCTACAAGGAACCACGCACCTTTCCCAATACTTGGTTAAAGAAATAACCCTCGACCTCATACTCCGCTCCAACACTAGCTAAGGACTTAGAGGAGACTCACCCACTAGTGCCTTATCCAAGCACCACTCTCACCCAAAACCAGTGATCTATCTAAGCACCACTCTCATTTATATCAGTGACCTATCCAAGCACCACTCTCAAGAGACTCTATGTGAGCTCTTCCAAGTCAAAAATATTTCGCTTTCCTCAAGTCCTAGGCTAGACACATGCCATAAGGCATCAGATGCAATAATGCATCATACATCATACATGGCCAATCCACCATCATGATCAATATCATTCTCATATAAACATATACACATGTCATATCATATTTAAACATTCATACATATCATTACTAAGCATACATATGAATCATACACCACCATACATCATATATCAGACATACATGATCAAATCTTCAACTATTAAACATGCCTAAGCATCATTCCAAATCAATCATTAATAAACATATTCACGCCCAGCGCAACCTGAGCGTGCTCGGCCTAATCTCAACCCGAGAGTCCTAAAACTCATTCATGCCCGGCACGCTCAGCTCGCGCCCGACATCCTTGAAACAAAGACTCATAAGAGTCTCCACGCCCGACGTACCCACCTTGTGCCCGGCGTGCTCCAAACAAAGACCATCCAAAGTCTCCACGCCCAGTGCATCAATCCTGTGCCCGGTGCCATCTCAGTAAAATTCCTCACCCAACCACTATCTAATATCGTGCCCAGCGTGGTTCTTCTCACGCCTGGTGCGAACTCATCCAAAGACCTCCATTTTAATTCACGCTCGATGTGACTAGCCTCGCGCCTGGCATGAGTTTGAAATGGTTGCCTCTGATGAATGCATGCCTAACGTCAAGAATTGTGCCTGACGCAAATTCAAATAGCAGCCTCCAAAACTTTAAAAATTTCCTCTAATACCTAAAATTCAGCAAATTCAATCTCATGCAAACAAGGAAACACAATGCATAGGATCCATACAACACAAAAACAAACTCAAATTCAAAATTCACGCATCCATTGAATTTCTGATGGAAGAGCATGGGCTAAAGGCCCAACCACTAGAGCAATGGCCAGGAGGTTACTTGAAGATTTGACTGCTTCAGAGCTTAGTGGGCCCAATGGGCTTGGTGGGCCTAGGGTGCTTCTCACTTGGGCTTTAATTGATTGAACACCATGTTTAATTGTATTTTCTTAGTATAGGAATTTACTTTGTTGTTGGTCTTGTATTTTGACCATAGATTAGGGTTTAGGTGTCTTGGGCTTAATTTTGGGCTTCTTGAGCTTTGGGCTTTTGATACCCAATATTGGGCTCATTCTTCTTCTTATATTTTTTCCTATTCATTGTATTCATTAGACCAATGTATTTCGTCAAAGGCCTATTTAGTAGCTTGGAACGGCCCGTTCCAGTTTGGGAACGACCCGTTCTGGGCTACTAAATTATCTTTATTTTAGTAGTTTGGAACGACCCGTTCCAAATCCGGAACGCCCCGTTCCAGTCTACTAACTACATTACAACAGGCTTACCACGACCTTGGCATGCATTACCAAGTCACTTGTGGGGTTCGCCCACCAACTATCTACAAGGAACCACGCACCTTTCCCAATACTTGGTTAAAGAAATAACCCTCGACCTAACACCAATGTAACTTTTATTAAGTATTGCATCGCTTAATAACTTTATATTAAATGTGTTTTTTGTAAATTCAATCACTAAATTGAAAGTTCTTTACTCTTAGATCATATATACAAAGTTTTATATGAATTCAAGATGATTTGATACTTCATTCTTTTAAAATAAAATGGACATAATATAGACATTTTAAAATATACTAAAATATAAACATTTTGATTACTTTCAAGTTATTGTTTAATTTTAACAAAATTTGATATAAACATATAAAGTAATATGAACTTTCAATCCAACGAATAGATTTACAAAATTTACAATTAATATAAAATTATTAAACGGTGTAATATTTAGTAAAAGTTACATAAATATAATTATAACCTCTTATATATATATATATATATATTTTAAGGTGAAACAAACTTAACCATCGTAGAATATCCTTTTCCATTACTCATCTATGGTATTGATACTTAATTGGTTAACACGTCAACTAACATATAGGTTGAGAACTTGTCTAAGACATCATCCAAGATCATCTGAAACTGAGCAACCCACTTTTCACACTGCGATTGAACTCATCATACTTTACATAGTGAACTTAACTAACAACATCGGAACCTAATTATGTAAATAGTATCTCACTAGCGTGTTTTCACGCTCTCTAATTATATTACTAATAACTATTCCAAAACATAGCGACTTTAATGTTAAGAGTGTTTGCATGTTGTCACTGTTGTCTCCCACTCTTGCTCAACACAAACTTACGCAATCTCACTTAACCGATCCGCTTCATGGTCACCCTTTAACAAAAATTATAAAAAACAATTTATAGAAAATTCAACATAACTTTTAAAAAAATAATCAAAATAAAAACATTTTTTTTCTTAAAAGAATATATTTGAATTTAACATAGAGATAGTATACAAAGAGGTGACAAAATAAAATTGACACGACTTGGCAAATTGAGAGCTTCAAAGAAATTCAGTAGTCGTGGTTTGCCGGGACACATCATCCTGGAAGCCATCCGTGACACTTCTTTCGTAGCAATAACAAAGCCAAAAAGTGAGACTTTACTCAAAAAATGGCTTTTGGGGGTCCAACATGGCTGTACTATGCTGACTATGTGACCCAAATGAAGACCAAAAACTCTGCTTTGACTTCAGTTGACTTTGTCTCTGTTATGCTATAAAAGTCCCTTGGGTGAGTTTAATGTTTAACAGTTCAATCACAACCATTTCTTAACTCTCTCTCAAACTCCTTCATAATCTCTCTTTCCCAGTTCCCAGCTTCAAATCAATATGAAGGTAAGAATTTGTTCCTTCCCTCAACTTTTCTCTCCTTAAGAACCATACAAGTTCATTTAATCTATTTCTAAAAGTTTATGAGTTTGCTCTGCTTTCATGCTTGAATTATCAACCGCCTCTCCCTCTTATTTTTTTCTTTTTCTTTTTCATTTTTTTAATCATCAATATTAGAAAATATATTATCTCAGTTTTCAAGTTCTAGTTTCCAAATTACAACCTTGGCTTGCTTATAACTTTTTTTTTTTCCTTCTACTACTGAAGTGGTCATTGATTTTGGAATTTTCATGCTTAGAAGTGACTATAACTATAGATCCTAAAAGTTCCCTAATTTTTGTCTCTGACAGAAAGTGGTGCTAAAGGTGGAACTCTATGATGACAAAATCAAGAAAAAGGCCATGAAGGCAGTATCTGGTCTTTCGGGTATGGAATTTCAACATCCAAAATTCCTTCTTTTTTTTTTCCCTCATTAATCATTTGCTTAGTTAATCAAGGGTTAAACCACATGGTATCAAATATTGAATTTCTTTTTTTGTGGTGAATTTTTCAGGGGTTGAGTCAGTCTCTGTAGACATGAAGGACCAGAAAATGACTCTAATTGGGGACATTGATCCTGTTAGTGTGGTGGGCAAGCTTAGGAAATTGTGCCATTCAGATATAGTTTCAGTAGGACCAGCCAAAGAGGAGAAAAAGGAGGAACCCAAGAAAGAAGAGAAGAAGCCAGACAAGAAAGATCCAAAGGAGGAATATGCTGAACTTCTGTATGAAGCCTATAATAATCAGACTAGAATGCAGCAGCTATACCCTTATTACTATTACAGAACTGTGGAAGAGAATCCAAATGGCTGTGTTATCTGCTAAGTATTGGAGTATCATCATCATGGAGTTTTATACATAATAAATGAGATCAAGAAAAGAAGATTGTGGCTGGAGTTGGATAGTTATGTTTATGTTTCGTTTGGAATTTCCTTTTTCTTCTTTTCTTTAATCATTATAAAGTTTTGGCCTTTCCTCTTGTTCTAGTTCAAAAATATCCAAAAGTGTGGAATCTAAAGTAGAAAAGTGTAATATGTACATTATTTTGTTGTGTAATACAATGTATTCAAAATTCTGGCAGCATTACTTTAGAATTGAGAATTGAGAAACTGGTTTTATTAAATTCAGGTGTACAATTCTTATTTCTTAGTTTGCGACTGTTATGGTCCCTTTTGAGAATTAGACATGGCAAGACACCAGAGAGAAAAAATGACAAGACAAAATAAAGATTTTCTGGAAGGGTAGGAGAAATATAATTAAAACCTAATCCTAATTTAAAAAAAAAAAATTTAAAGAAGGTTTGCAATATTGCATAAGCATTCATAAGTTGCTGAGAATGAAATATTTTTTTACCTTTTATAAATATAAGATATTTCAAAATTGATAATCAATCAATCATTTATAATAGAATGTAAGTTAATCATTATATTTTTTTATAAAAATGATATATTCAATATTTTTAAGATAACGATCAAAGATTAATTTATATTTATAAAATATAATTTTAATTTATTAAATATTATTTTAACAAAGAAAAAAAAATTTGAAAATAGTATTTCAGGACATCTCTTTCAACTACATTGAGGAGGATTAAATGAGAATGAAGCATGACTAATGAGTCATGACGGTATCTTTGTTGTTTTGTTCATTCATTTGAATATAATAAAACGTTTTTTAATCTGAAAAATGGGTAGAGAGAACTAACCAAGAAAATTCATACAATCCAATAGCAAAAACAGTGTACACTGTCCATCAGAGAATTGAAAACCGAGATACAACCTGTCAGAATAATCTTTGACAGTGACAACATAATCCCTCACTTAACTCGGTTTGAGGTTCAATTCTAAGCTGATTAGGATCACAATAAAACATGAGGAAGATGATTAAGATAACAGAGATTTTAGTGGTAGCGAAAATTGTGACATTAATGTCGATGATAGTACTGTAGTTGTTAAAAGCGATGTGTATAGTTGTTGCGGGGTCTACAAGGTACGTGACAAAGTCATTGATGCGATTAATGGCCTTATTATTTCTATCTGATGTAAACGTTTAGCATTTAGAAAATTTATCATAGGTAGGTGCTCCACGAAGGGGATGAATCTAGATTTAAAGTAAAGTACACTTGTTTTTTTGAAAAAATCGTAAAAATTAGATTATTTAAATACTTAAAAAGAGTAAAATTAAATTATTTTAATAATTAATTATAGAAATAATTGATTATTACTGTAACCGATTTTAATTAAAATGAAAATTTGTTTAGATAAATTTACTGATAAATAGTTTTAAGATGTTCGATTTTCGTTTTGACACTACATAAAAAAATCTCTATTTATGTAGTGAATTGGCTTAAAAAGGAAATATTTTTGAAAAATAATCATAAGTTTCAATTTTCCAATTTCATAAAAATAGCTTATTTTCAAGAAAAAAGTTGTTAACAAACTTAAGTTGTAGTTCTAAACACAATTTTTTCTTTTTGCAAACTACTTATTTTTTTAAAAAAATAATAATAACTGAAATGAGACATTATAAGCTAGTTAAAAATCAATCTCATGAACTTCATCCTTATGCTAACCTTATCAAGCAGATACGCCAAGTTTTATTTTTGGTCTAGCTATTCCACATTCAAGACACATATAGGGAAGACGATGCTTGTGTAGACTCACTCGCCCAGCAGAGTTCCTCCTCAGAGGATACTGAATTTAGGGTATGGGAGTTCTACCTTTAGAATATTTCTTTTTAGTTATTAGTAGATGCTATGATTGTTTGTTATCATAGACAATAGCTTATCCTTTGTTTATTTTCTTGCCCAATGATAAAAAAAAAACTCTCCCAAACACATAACTTATAAATTGGTTAAAAATCATGATATAAGATGAGAGAAGTGTAATTATTAAGTGAAAAGATGATATTACACTTTTCATAATTTTAAGTTTTAATGATACTAAACATCGATGTTTTATAAGGGGAATGTACGTTTTTTTTTAAGACGAATGTTTATAAGACGATTTGATTTATATGTTTAGTTATCTTGACATTAAGTTTTCATTGATGAAGTACTTCATTTATAAGATATATGATCTTAATTTATATCATTTATAATATTTGATAACAAAATTATTTTTCTTCACATGACTCCTTTACAAATCAAATTGTAAATCTTTTATGGTATTCACAATTCAGAAATGTTTTTCTTCAGAAAAAGGACTAGCATATCCCATAATGAACGAAAAACTACAAGAAAACTGTTTTGGACTGACACACATGTTTCCTTTCTTTTGGTACTTAAAAGGTGATAAGTAACTTCATTGATTAGATTAAAAATGACAATTTAGTAAAATACATTTAATGCAAGCATTTAAAGCTCCAAGAAAACTTCCCTATATAAGGAACGAAGATGAAAAGAGACGAAGCAAACTTATGAGAAATGCTCAACAGTTTACAATGTTCATCTTCATAAAACACCTATATAAAGAAATTTAAAGATTTAGAAAGAAAGAGAACATATACTCATTGTAAAAAATTACATTCATTCTTTCAATAAAAAATATTGTACTTAAATGGTTGTATCACGTCTTCATAGTAAGACAAAACAACATTGTTAGTTTATCCAACTTTAATTTTGTGTTATTGCTTTGAGCCTAAAGAAACTTGCTTATAAAAGAATACTTGATTGTTAAAGATTAGATAGATTTTTGTGTCAAAAGAATACTTAGACAATTGCTTAAAGAGGTAAGTCAAAAAATACTTAGGTTGAGACAAAAGTGGCTCATGAAAGAATACTTGTATCTTTGTAAAAGATAATGAAACTTGATTGGATTGATCAAGAATTGGACGTAGTCTCGATAGTTGAGACAAACCAATATACAAAACATTGTATTCTTCTTACTTTGCTCTTTATCTACTCTTTTACAATCTTATTACTACTTCATTATTTCAAAAAATTATTTAGGTACTATATACTCCCTTCTAGTGTCTTCTTTTTTCTTCATAATAATTATTTCATGTTTGATTTTAAAAAAAATTATGGGACAAAACAAATTAGATAAAGAAAGAAAGAAAAATAATGTTTTTGTTAATCAATCAATCACGAGATAAGTACAAATATTCAAGAGATAAAAATACTCACTACCATCATTGCAACCCTTATCACTACTATTGTTGACCACTACTGTTGATGCATATGACTAGCATTGACTTTGTTGCCAATATTGTTGTCAATATTGATGTTGTTATTACTATTGTTGCCATCGTTATTATTACTCTTATTGTTATCATTATGATTATCATTATCGTTACCACTATCTTCTTATTAAGATAATTAATAAAAATTCATCAAGATAACTTATATTAACAATAGTACTATAATAAATATAATGTTTTTTTTACATTATTTACAATCTACTAAAATAATATACAACGCAAAAATTTTCTCAATTATCCATTCTTGTTCTTCGTGAAATGTACTTTAGTATGTAAAAAATAACAGCTACTACGAGAATACATGGTGCAGAAGAGAGAAAGAAGAGAAAAATAAAATAAACTAAAAATAAATGTATTGAGAATATGAATATGTGTCCAAAAGGATTAGATCAAACCTTTATATAGGCAGCAAAAACTAATAACTCTGTTAACTAACTCCTATACAATTATATCTCTAATAGTCCCTTGTTAAGTTAAAAGACTATTTTGAATCCCTCAAGTTTTAATGATAACAAACGAAATATTTTCTTTTAAACAAAATAAATTATTTGTAAAATATTCTATATCAAACAAGTGTAAAATGTATATCGTCTGTAAGATGAAGAGAATCGGACGAAGCATATAGTTTGTCTCATTATGTATTAAATGTATATTTTTAAGTGAGACTAACAATAATTTCCATTAAATTTTTTATTCCTTAACAGATCAAATAAGAAAGATGTTCTGAAACTCTAAAAATCTATTAAAGAAGGAAAAGTCAAACTATCTGTTAGAACCAAAGGCAAAATCTTGAGTATCACAGAAAAGTAGAAAAAGGCTCTACAAGAAATACTCTACATTGACATTGCTTCTTCCCCATCTTAGAAGAAATGATGATAATTAGCCTCCTAGATCAAATAATAGATACACACTTTATTGAAAAACATTTAATGTTCTCATTTAATGAAGCAACGGTAGCCTCTTTCCTCTTAGATCAGTAGTGAAGACACATGAAACAACTTGTGGTTCAACTCAAAGTGTCCCAATGGTCATCTTCTCTGAAACTACTATATAAAGATCAAGCCTTTAAGAAAGAAGATATAAAGTCACGCATACAAAGAAATACTCACTATGAATTCTGTATATACTTCTTTACAGACTATCTGTACTTTCATTTTTTGTTGCAACACGTCAAGAACAGACGAAACAACTTCATAATATTTTGTAACCCTTGTTGTAAGGGTTGAGCCTGAAGAGATTTGATTGAGAAAGAATACTCGATGTTAAGCCTAGAGAGACTTTTTGTTCAAAGAATACTTGGGTATTGAGCCAAAATTGACTTGTTGAAAGAATACTTATATCTTGTTTAAAAGATAATAGAACTGAATCTAGTTGGATTGAAAATTGGACGTAGTCTTAGTGCATGGTTGAGATGAACCAATATAAAAATTCATGTGTTTCATCCGACTCTTCTTTAGCCCTTCGTTTTTTAAGTTCTTTTCTCTTCGCTGCTCAAATGTGAGTTTTTGATACACATTATTAAACTCCCTCTTCTAGTGTATGTCTTTTCTCTACACTCCTAAGTTGGGACATATTCACACCACTTCTAGCTTGGGATAAGCAAAACAAGTAATAAAATAAAGCAAAATACAATGAGATATGCCGAAAATACATTGGCTAAAAGATATACAAAAACTAAAATGATCAAGAGCCATTAGACACAAGCTTAACCATTGAGCAAAAGCCATAACACAAGACTTAAACACTTAATAAAAACAAAAATGTTTATCAACCTAACATGTAGAAGCAATAATAGTAAATTCTTAAGCACCATAAGGCACAAGTAATAAAGGTAAATGCTTAATCACCGTAAGGTAAAAGCAACAAAGGTTAACCATTACGAGCAAAAGCCAAAACAATTCTTAACCACTCAAGATAGAAGCA